TTTCATTGTATCTCAGGAGCGCACCATCTTTCCCAGGCTTTGACCTGTCTGCCCACATTCTCCCGCCTTCCTCGGGGCCTTCATCCCTTCCGGGAAGCCTCTGCCTGAACAGGCCTGCAGCTTTGGGCTGCCGCCCCACAAGACTCTCAGAGGTGGAGGGCCTGGGACCTGAGGAAACCGTGCTAACTCACCCAACTTTGTCAAACTGGTACTGATTGGCGGGATTTGGCGTTTTCTTCCCATGATCCCCAGGATACAAACAGCTCAGGACTGACTCAGGAGACAGCAGGTCCCTGGAAAGAGGAGCAGAGCCTGCCGTGAGGAGGCCGGCCAGCTTCTGACCTCAGGGGGAACCTGGGACCCCGGTGGCAGAGTGGTAATGGCCACTGATCACCAGTGATCATCACGGATTGATCTTAATGGTCAATGCTACCATTCATGGAGTGCTCCCAGGGTGGCAGGGAGGGGCTGAGATGCTTCTGTGTGGGAAAGAAACACTGAGGGAAATATGACTGACTATATTCCTTAACTTACTTATAACAGAGGGAATCTAGAAAGCTAGTATTCCATGGTAGGAAAGCCACCTCTTTGGTAAGTCAGAGATAAAGTCCAAGTACATGATCCTGCTTTAAATATCACTCCCAGATTCTCCCCTCACAGCTATGCTGCCTTAAAGTGAGCACGTTTGGTTGTATCTCCCTATAGAGCAGTGGTTCTCAACCTTCCTCATGCCATGACCCTTTAATACAGTTCATGTGGTGGTGACCCCCCCCAACCTTAAATTTATTTTTGTTGCTACTTCATAACTGTCATGAATCGGGCGACCCTGTGAAAGGGTCATCCGACCCCCAAAGGGGTCGAGAGCCACACGTTGAGAACAGCTGCTGTAGAGGCAGACATCCTTTTGTTGTCTCCTACCGCTGCATCACCCAGCCCCGCTCATACCTTCCCCTAATGCAGATACCTTGTAACATATGTAACTAATGAATATGCATGTCTTATGGGTACCTATAAAAACCCCTAGAAAAGACGCCCTCTGTCCTCTTTCTCTCCCCTCCCACCTCCACGAGGACCAAGAGGGGCTGAGGTGAGCGTGCTACCATGAAATGTGTCCTTCATTTTACTCTCTCTCCTGTCTCCGATGACTTTACTATAACCTTTACATATGATCGCCGTACAATTGTGCCCATGGACCCTGTGGTTGTCAGAGGCTGGCTTCCTGACACTTCTGTTTGAGGACATCAAATTCCCAGGGAGCATGACCATCTCTATCACCGAGGGCACAATGCAAGACGTGGCTTGTCTGAGGGCACAGTGCTAGTGCGGACAGAGCCAGGGCTTACACGGTCTACTCAAAGACAAAACTCTGGCGCACAAAGAACACACCAGCCCTCTAAGAGCTCCCAGGGGAGGGGCCCTGGTGGCACAGCGGCTATGGATTGGGTGCCAACGTCACAGAGTTCCGGGGAGGCCAGGGTCTTACCCAAGGCAGTTCTCCTGGAAGCAGAGTAAACTCCTCTCAGCCCCACCGAGAACAAGCGGGCAGCTCTGGTGCTGCATCCAGCTTGATTTGACCAAATCTCATGCTAATCACAGAAAAAGATCCATCAAGCTCCTGGAGAACGACATCACCACATCGACTGGAGTCAAGGTGACCCAGGGCTGCAGGCACGGTGAGGCCACTGGCACTGGTGGGGAAGGACCAGGAAGCGTCAGTGAGGACCCTGGAAGGGACAGCCCTGCTGTGGTGCACAGGCGTGTGTGCTCACATTACATCTGCCAACAAAAGCCATGCTATCCCCACACCAACAAAAGGCTCTGGCCAGCTTTCCAGAGACAGCACAGGAGCAGTTCAGGAGGAGCACAGCTCCGGCTGGGCTTCAGTGGCTTCATGGTCCCAAGCGTATCTTTGGGGACTTGACCCCAAGACAGTAGTCACTGGCTCCTCCCCGGTGTCAGTCTCAGAGTCCCTGTGCCTCCAAGGGCCTTTGCCTTTCACTGTTTCACAGGAGAACTGGCTGAAAAATAGGTGAACATTTCTGGGCTTTAACCCAACGATCAGTGACTATTACTGGTAGGAAGAATTAGCAGAGTATCTTAAAACTGATGAGACCTGCTGAAAGAATCAACTCTTGACAAAGCACAGATCAGCAGTAGGTGTCTCAGGAGCAGATCTGGACAAACCACTGGCCCTAAACGGGGAGGCTGTCTATAAAACAATGACACCACCATCTCGCTGCTGAGTCCAACCTCTGTCAGGAAATTTTAATGGGAAGACAGGATTAAAAAGCCCGGGGAAACAAAAATGGAAAAGGATAAAAAATGGTTTAGTGGCTTCACGAAAAACTGATTCGTGAATTAAATTGGACTTGCGATCATTCTGGAAAAGAACTTTTCAAGGAAAAGTCGGCAATGTGGGTAGGGTTCTGATAAAAACTTTTGTATTAAAAACACTAATGGTATTATTTCAGATGTAGTTAGGATAAAGCTTAATACATTACCATTTGGTTCCCTTTTCGATCCACTTAAATTTGTTCTAGTTTCTAATATTCTCTGCTTTCTTTTTGATGGAGGTTATCTGTTTTGTTATTATTGTTAGGTTTTTACTTTATGTTTTCTGTATTTGAGATCCAGGAGAGGTAAACCTATTGAGACAGTAACTAAATGAATGCTTCCTTGGGGGTGTGGCAGGGGATTGGGGGGGGAATGGGGAGCTAATAACAATGAGTACAAGAGCAAAGAAAATGTTCTAAATCTGATTGTGGTGATGACTGCACAACTCTTCCTGATGTCACTGAACTACTGAATTGTATATATGAATTACATGCCGATAAAAGTGTGAAAAAACAAAACAAACAAATGAAAAATCCACTAGTAAATGAACAGATCCAGAGAAGAGACAGCCTGGGAGACAGCCTGGGCCTCCTGACGGAAAAGACCCCAAGAGCACCCAGGTCTCCTGGGCCCCAAATAAAAATGAATCTCATCAAGCCTCTACCCTAACTAGTCATTTCCCCAAACCCAGGGGGAAAGATTGTACTGTAGAGATGCAACCCATTAAAATCCACAGAGTGAGCCAGCCACTTCCCTCCACCACTGAGTAAATGGAGGATAAAAAGAGACAGAGCCGGAAAGACACGTGGGGGAGGCTTCCCCCACCATCACCATCTGTGGACCTCACCGAGATCCAGGCACAAACCTCAGCGGTGAAACTGAGAAAACATACAGAGAAGAGCCTGCAACACGGGGAGTCCAGGATAGATAAACCCCTCAGGGCCAACAATGAGAGTAGATACCAGGAGGATTAGGGGAGGTGGGGGGAGAAAGGGGGAATCGATCACAAGGATCATATAGAATCCTCTCCCAGGGGTACAAATAATGGAAGAGTGGGTGAGGGGCAACAAAGGACTATGCAAGGTATGGAAATAATAATCTATAACTTATCAAGGGTTTGTGAGGGAGGGCAGGTGGGAGAGGGAGGGGGAAGAAATGGGGGCTGATATCAGGGGCTCAAGTGGGAAGAGAATGCTTTGAAAAGGATGATGGCAGCATATGTGCAAATGTGCTTGACACCCTGGATGAACATATGGATTGTGATAAGAGATGTAAGAGCCCCTAATAAAAGTATTTAAAAAGAAAAAGAAAATGAGAAAACAGAGGCAAGGTGAAGGCGAAGAGGGTGGAGGGTGCAAGGAATCAGTGTGCTGTGACTAAGGTTTAGGACCCAGCAGGCATGATGGGCTCCGAAGGGGCGACACAGTGCGGGGTGCCGGGCGGGCAGGGTCTCCTCCTTCCCCAAAGAAGACAACTCAGCAGCAGTCCCCACCCACCCAGGGTTCTGAGAATAAGAGAGAACTGTGCCCGGGGCTGCTCTCTACAAGGGATTCAGGAAGTCCATCCTTGAGAGGAGGAGCCCTGGGGCGTAGTGGGTTACAAGTTGGGCTGCTAACCACAAGTCAGTAGTTTGAAACTACCAGCTGCTCCATGGAAGAAAGATGAGACTTTCTACTGCTGTGAAGATTTACAGGCTCAGAAACCCGCAGGGGCAGTTCTGCCCTGGCCTACAGGGTGGCTATGAGTCAGAAGTCACTCAATGGCAGGGAGAAAGCGTATCCTTAAGAAAGGCCTCTGGAGCTTCAGGTTCTAAGCCATGGCTTCACTAATTGGGTTTCATGGCTCCGGGGCCTCTGTTTCTCTCTCTGTTTGACAGGAGAATGAGCTAGACAACACCTGAGGGGTCCAAAAGCCTCATGCTAGAGTTTTACGTCCCTTCCTTCTTTGGGCCCCTGAAAGCCAAAGGAAAACAAAAAGAAGTTCACTGTCACTGAGTCAGAATGGAGAGAGTGTAGAAAGTAGAAAGATGAAGTTGCTTTCGATTCCCATAAAGAATTACAGAGTCTGGGAAACCCATAGGGGCAGCTCTCCCTGTCCTCGAGGATCGGAACGTGTCAGATACTGGAACACACCTGACAGCAGGGAGAGTGAGTGCGTCACAGTGAGTGGGCGGGGTAGAATGAGATGGGGGTAGGGGAAAACGGGCAAGCCACAGGGAGGTTTGATAAGCTATGTAAGTTGTTGAATACGAAAATAATGACCTGATAGGAAAGCCTCCACTTAATTCACAATAAAAATACATTAAAAATTAATTAGGGAGACAGACAACAGAAAAGTGAGTGATGGGAGACATCGGTCAGTGTAAGACATGATAAAATAATAATTTATAAATTATCAAGCATTTGTGTGTGAGGAAGGGTTGGGAAAGGAAGGTGGGGGGGATGAGGAGCTGATACTAAGGGCTCAAGCAGAAAGAAAATGTTTTGAAAATGATGGCAATAAATGTAAAAACTGTGCTTGACACAATGGATGATCATATGTACTGTGATAAGAGCTGTATGACCCTCTAACTCAGAAGCAACAAAGCACACATGGAAGAAGCACACCAGCCTATGCGATCACAAGGTATCAAAGGGATCA